TTTATAAAAATATATTTATTATATATTAAAAACATTATTATCTTATTATAAAAACATATATAATTTTTTTTAAGTTTCAGTAAAGTAACATTATACATATTTTAGTTAATCCAATATCTACAAAGTATTAAAAGTTAATTTATGAAAATTATAAATAACAACATGAATAAAAATAGCTGGTTATTTCTTATTCATGTTTCAATTTTCACACATTGATTATTAATTTACAATAATCAGCATAACTAGGTATTATTTTATAATATTAGGATTAGCGATATAGTATTTTATTGCTATACATTTTATAATATTATGTATTACTGTATTTTTAGTATATAACAAAATTTTTAAAAAATAAAAATTTATTATAATTCATCAAACCAACTATCTTCTACAACATTTTTCTGAATTCTAAGATTTTGAGAAACTGCAACTAATTTTTTTACTCTATTATTGCTTAATCTAGCATGCAATTTGCTATGAATAAATCCAAATTGAGACCAATTGTGTTCAGCTGAAGCTGATAAAGTTGGTATTGATAATAATTTAATTGCTAAATTTACAAGCAAAGGATATTTATATTCAAAATTAGATTTCTACCAGCTAATAGAATTAGAATATTTAATCGATTCCCAAAATAAAGAATTAGAAAATTTATCTGATTTTGCAATATATTTTTGAATCATTCTATATAACTAATTAAATATTAAATTAAAAATTTATATGTATATTTCGAATTAAATAAACTAATATTTTATATAATTTACATGTGTAGCAGTGGCAGATGGATAAGTTTCATTTAAATATAGAACAATAATATCTGTTAAATCATTTGGTTTTAATGCTTTTTCATGAAAACTATTTATAAAGCTTTGCAAATATTATATCATATATATATTATTAAAATATTTGTATATTTTAATAAAACTATATAGATATTGCAAAGCTTTAGTTATTTTGTATAGTTACAATATAACTTTTTCATAAGTTATTTCTTCTACTTAATATTATAATATAATATTTTACTAAAAATATATATCATTTATAATAATTAAATACTAATTTTAACGCATATAATATTGAGTAAATAGTTTGTTAAGAAATAACTTTTGAAAAATTAAGCAGTAAATTTAAAAGATATATCTTTGTATAAAATACTAAAATTATTCTTATATGATTAATTTATATAAAATTATTAGACTATTTAAAAGCTAATTAAACTATTTAAAAATAAAATATTTAAATTAAAAAATTACTATTTCATTAATACTTATATTATACTTACTTTGGATCCAACAAATTTGCAAGTACTAAAGCCGGATAAAAAATAAATTCAAATCTTGTAGTAATCAAATTAGAAATATCTTCTTTTTGATACAAATTTAAATTAAGTTTTTCAACTGATGAATAAAGATTATTCCACTCTGTATAAACATGTGATAATAATGAAGTATTTGATTCAAATAATTTAATAAAACATGTAAAAGGTATTAATAATAATTTTAAAAGTTTTAACTTATCCCATAATTCTTCTCCTAAAATTTTGTTTTTTAAAGTATAATCTATAATATTAGAAATTGTAGGTTGTAAAACAGATGTTTGAATAGCAATTTTACAACAAATAATAGATTGAACTGAATCAAGATAGGTTCCTCAGCGTGTATCTACTAGTTTAACAAGCATAATTGTATTAGGCTCTTGTTGTAAAGTAGCTTCAGCCTGATAATAGCTTCTAAAAAAGTAACAATTTCTTTTGTATTGTCCATTGACTCCTCTACCCAATCTAGCTTAAAAATATCTTTGATTAAAAGATTGTCTACATGTGAATTACATCTCATACAAATAAGATTTGGATAATTATTATTAAACATTTTCCATGCTGCATATATTGTATTTGCATTATCAGTAATGACTGCTACAAATTTTGATGATCCAATTTCTTCAATAATGGATTTAAGCTTATTATAGATAAATTCAGCAGTATGTGATTCTAATCCAGTATAATTTGTATCGTAAAAAATTGGTTCAGAAAGACAAAGAATAAAGTTTAAAACAGATTCACGATAGATATTTGATCTTAAATAATAATATAAATAATTAGATATATAATAAATATTTAAGATAATTTGCTATTGAAGAGTATAATTTTTTTAGTAAAAATTTTTACTAGATTTATTATAAAATTGGAATGCTAAAATTTTTTTACAGTAAATAAAATCAAATAATTATATAGTTAAAATGAAAATATCTAAATAAAATTGTTAAAATAAAGGCTATTCAAAGAACAAAATATACTATTTAATATAAGCTAGCTTATATTTCAATATTATTATAAAAAGTAACTCTTCAATTGCGATTTACCTTTTAGATTTTTAAAATAGATTAATATAAAAATTAAATATTTAAATTTACCATCCGTCTGATATAAGTGAAATATTATTTACTTTTTTAAGTTTATCTTCTAAATATTCACACTCTTGAGAATAGGCATCATCCAAAAGTTTATTTGCCAATTGCCGGCGATTTGGTAAATTATAAGACGGATGAAGTGTATTTATAAAATCAATCCAATATGGATTTTCAATTGCAGAAAAAGGAATAGCAGATGAGTAAAAAAAATTAGCCAGTTTTTTTATCCAAAATAACTTTGTCATTTTGAGGCATACTATCCAAGAAATTAGTTATAGGCTGAGAATGTATTTGTCTTGATTGAACAGCACTTCCTGTTGTAGTAGAATTAGGTTGTATGGGAGCACTATTTCGACGAGTTTTACTTGTAGTTAAGTCAGCTCGTGGCCGCCCTTCCTCTAATATTCGTACTGATCATTTTTATCCTGCAGAAGAGGATAATACAAATGCCAATAATCTTTCTACTCCTTGCCAAATATGCAAATATTGCAATAAAGATGTTGTTGACTTAGTTGATCGTTTGAAAGAACATTTGAATAAATGTAATTCTTTTCCTTATGAACTTTGAGGATCAACGAGACATTGAGTGACTTATTGTGAGAAAAAAACTTTAATTAAGCTATTGCTAGCCAAAGTTGTGTTTTTATTAATCGAATTTTTGTCTTTTTATAATTTTTTTATTACATTTAATCTAATCTATTTTACATCTTAGAAGAATTCAAAAAAATTTGTTTGTTTGGGCTTTGACCCGGCAATGGAAAGTATTTTCAATTAATTTCCTTTTTTTCTGATTTTCACACATTTTATGTACTCTTACCCTTTTAAGTAGTATTAATTTCTTTCTTGTATATACAACTATAATTTTAATTAGTTTACTTTTTTAGTTAGTGCATTTACTCATATACATAAGTTAAAATATTTATATATAATTTTCCCGATAGTTATTTTCAATAGAAGAAACTATCAATATTACATAATTGATCTTTTACCTGGTGTTCAACTTATAAAAAAATTATTTCACGATATCAGATTATTCACTAGTACATGTTATAATTATAATAAAATGGTATGGGATTATAATTATAATATGTACTGGCGGAATGATTTGGTATTGTAAAATAATTTTTTTTATATGTTGCATACTAAGTGAAGAATCAGTCGTGTGATATTGATATTTTCTTCTGCTCAATAAGCCTTTTAACCAACATCACATAGGATGATGATTTAATAATGATATATATCTGGAACTAATAAAAATACTAATTCTAACCTTAGTGATACTAAGTAAATAGCTGTTGAAGAAATTACTATCGGGAATTAAGCAACAGCGGGTCAGGTTAGGACAGATCCACACTTTACATATTTCTTTAGATTATAGCATACTATACATATTTTGTTGTACGTACTATAGCATTTATTAAAAAATTTTAAAGTGCCTTTTTAGAAAATTGCACTAACTAATTAATTAGCATTTAGTATTCAATAAAAGCTTTGTTAAAACTCTTTATACGTATATAGAATATTCTAAATTCTAGCAAAGTTAGTTTAATTCTCAAAGACATTATGCTATGTACAGTATTATGTATTAATATACACACTGCTTTATATACTTAATGTATAATACTATATATTAAAATTATACATCATGTAAATAAATTCTAAAAAAATACTACGTACCGTATAATTTAAACTTAAACTATACATATTGTATATCTACTATACATAATGTATACCACACTATACCATACTTATCTGATAAGTTATACTATACTGGTTTACTATATACTCGTTGATTATGCATACAAAATATACGTACGTACGTACGTACATTAATTCAAATTAATCAACTTTATGATTTTACCTTTTTTGGTATAATTAAATATCTAACCAAAAATTAGTATCACAGTTGTTAATGTTCTTATTTTCATTTTGCACTTGTACGTACATACGTATTTTTATGTCGATTGACTATAATTTTACATTTTTTAGTATAATTGGGCACCTAACCAAATTAGTATCATGATTGTTAACACTAAAGCCACAGTACGTATGAGGCAGTATGCATACTGTTACGAGATAATCTGATATAGGATGTATTTAGTATAATATAGTAGATTCTAGAAAGTGCTTTTTCATATGAATCGAAATGTGGATTAGGTCACATAACAAATCCAATTTGATGCTGTAGTAACTATTACTATAGTAATAGTAAAAAAAGCATTAATGATTATAATTTGGAATTGGAAATATCATGTAATAAACAAATTCGATAATATTATTGGTCTATAATAAACCGTGTTTTTTATGTTTTTTATTTAAAAAAATTGGTGTTTTAAAACATTTAAAACATGTTTTAAAACACGATGTTTTAAAACATTTGCCATCCCTACTACAATGCTATTTTTGCAACAATTAAAGTTAGTGATATAAGTGAAATTCAAGAATGTTATATTAAGATAGATGTTAATGATTCTGAAGATATTAATAGTTACAATGATATTAAATTAAAAAAATTCAGAATTAGTTATGTCGATAATGATGATGTTGATAAGTCATGGATAGAAAAAAAACTTTATGGTCAACCTAGGCATATGTATGTTCAGAATGTGAATAGTGAAGATGAATGTTATTATATTATATCAATGGGTGAATTTGCTTACTTTTGTAAAATCGAGCCGATCAGAGCGAATGAAAAAAAAAATTTTCAAACAGAAATTAAAACAAAAATTAAAGATTTAAGAAGTAGATTATTAGGAAATTTTAAATGTAAAGCAAATCATGATATTGAAGATCATACAGGCATAACATTAAGTGCTGAAAACCCAATATTAAAAGGATACTTGATAAAAAAGTCAAAAATCAGGTGAAATCTAATGAGTCTCCTAATAGACAAGATAATGATGCTATCATTAGTTCACAAAATAATAGTAACAATACCACATTAGAAATCATCAAAATTGATGAAAATAACATAATTTTAATTGATGTTCTTAAAACAGGATTCCTAAATTACCTTATTTACTCTCATCGGAACCATGTTATTAATATGAGTTAATTAATATGTATGTTATAAGTGGATATACGTAGTATATTTTTAGATTCAGAACTAGTAAATTAATTCAGCTCTTAAAAATTTGACAGAAATTATGTAACAAAAATAGTTCTAGAATAATAAACCAAATATCTTTTAATAGCTATATTTATCATTTTATTTCATATTAAATTTTTAATCAATAAATATCGAGTTATTTCTGGTTATTTCTAAATTTGTTTGGGTTAATTTTAAATTCATAAATTTTGATTTGCCAATTAATATTTTGGTAGCTGCCATAATTTTTTTAGTCTCGTGAGTTTTGTGATTAAATTACTACAACTTCTTCATATTTTCTAGGACTCATTTTAGATTTTATACATTCCCTTTTATTGTTAAACAAAATATGATGATCATAAAGTGACTATCTATTGTATTCACGAACTCACAGGACTCAAAAAAAAAAAATTATGGTAGTTGATTCAAACAAGTCGAAAATAGTTATAACTGCGTTTAATTTTTTTTTTTCCTATACTGAATCTCAATTGTGATTTTTATTGTGGTGCCAATTCTGTAAATTGATTTTTGATTTAATTTGTAATATATTTTATTGGGGAGGTTTGTCAACTAAGTAAATCAAAATTACATATGCTTACTGTATAGTTGTTAAATAAAACCTCGAGGTTTCACGCTGACAAAACGCAAAACCTAGTTTCATCTTTCGTCAATTAAAATTATAAATGACGAAATGGTAAAACTGATGAAAGATAACTAATATACAAGATTAATGTTGTTGAAACTCATTGAAGATTATGTGTATAAAATAAACTAACAAAAACAGAAATTTATAAAAATTACAAAAAATTTTATTGTATAATGGATGTTTAGATTGCACTTGAATTGTTTAAAGAGAGTATTCTACATCGTATTATACTGGTATATTACATATCAGTTCTAGTGTACCAGTAAGTTTTTTGCTATCTCATGAGTACTATGGCTTTTTGATAAGGTTATTTCAATTGGTCTATAACAACCCAGCATTGTCTAGAAAAATTAGGTATAGTTATTGTATAGGTTGTAAAAAATAACTAAATTTTTACGGGGTTACATGGCTGAAGGCCATGCTATGCAAATTTAGTTATTTTATAACCTATATAATAACTATTTTATTGCACAGTGTCTGATGTACTGTACAATCCTGTGCCAATAAGTAAATGAAAAAAGCACAGGCTGTTACATTAGACCCGTGCAATAAACCGGTTTATTTTTGCTGGCATACATGTGATCTCTAAATATATTAATTCAACGAAAATAACATATAGTACACCTAGAGTGTCCAGGATTACGCTATTAGCATAATTTAGTATAATTTGAGTTCGCTAACATTATTATGCTAGCAGCAGAATTCAGCATAATTTACATTTTCTAGCATAAAATTTAGTATAATTTGTTATTTTTGATAATAGATAGAGTATTACACAAAATTTGTAGCTTTAGCTATTATATACATATGTTACAGAGAATTTAAAAATCATATTGCTTCATATTGTAACTATTAAGGTGGGATAAGGTCTCTAGCTTACTTCCTTTATTTTCTTAAGTAAAATCGAATAGAACTTCTCTACATATGTCTCTCTTTATTGAAGTTAAATTCATTCGTTTATATGTATTTGAATTTAATAGATAGCATATTAACATGTTGTTTGGCATATTGATATATTGCTTAACACGCTGTATACTATTCAATAAAGATACTACTTCAAGAATGTGTCCCTTAATATATAAGTAGCTGCGTGACATTGTCACGCTAAACCAGGAACAGGTGAATATAAGCTTAATTTAGAAAATGTTGGACAACTCTAATACAGAATAGTTATATATTGTTTTGAATTCAGATAAAATAAATATCGAGTATATAACTAAATACAACATAACTATATTGATATAAGACACTAATTTAAACAAGAAATTTCTAGATCTATATAGTATATATAGAGTGCAAAATACCTTCTTAAAAACATATATCAATCCACTATAATTTTCTAATGCTAACCCTAATGATACATAACTCAGAAATAGATATTAAATATAGGTATATTTTATACCTATACCATACAAATCTGGTCATACTAATCTGTATAGTTAGAAATTCTTGGCAGATGATAATTATATAGACTAATGTGGATAAGAAGTTAAATAAGAGTTAAACAGCCCATATTAAATATTTAGATCAATTAAACAAATAAATAATTGCTAAACTTAGAGAATAATAGTACTCTTAATATAATTAGCTAGTTACTGTGGCAGATGAAAATTTTCTATTTTTTTAGGAAATTTTTAAATTTTTGGAAGAACATTTTTTGGGTTAGTGTTAGGTCTAGAGTTAGAGTTTAGTGTTAGTTTTATTAATAATGGAGTATAAATAGGTTTTATAAGCTTTAAAGATGAGCAATTAAGGTTACTAGTTTCATTTTCATTATGATCTATAACATTATTTATGTGCTTGAGAGAATTTTAAATTAATACGAATAAAAATTTTATTAATTTAAAAAAAAAAAAATTAAAAAATCATTAGCATAAAAAGTATAATTTCATATCATTTGCAAACATAATTTACTATCATTAGCAGCAGAATTCTGAATACTCTAAGTACACCCTCCAAAAACTGATCCTGTCAAAACTGATAACCTGCTATAATGATAAAAAATTGATCTACCATAATTAAAACCTGAAAACCTGCCATTTCTGATAACTAATATTCAAAAAACCAGATATCTATAAGTTATCTGACAGGTACTATGTATACACTAACAGAAATTATTGCTACAGATATTTATTAAAATCATGTAAAAAATACTAATTGTAGATTTTTAAATTCTCAATTTCATATTTTTTAAAACTAATATGCCCAGAATAAATTACATATAGAAAAACAAATAATATTAAAAATAGTAGTGGAAATGATAGTGTATTTCCTTATTATTATTATGTTCGGATGAAGATTTATGAAGTTGCTTAATATCATGAAAACTTGGTATAAAATATGGTGCCAATTGATTAGAGATAGACTTTAAAGGTGGTCATTGACTTGATGATCTTGGAATATGGGACCTGAAAGTGGGTTTCTTGTCATAATTAGATCTTGTTGGAGTTGGTATAGATGCTGAATTACTTGAATCTATAAAAATTGCAATATAGTTAAAATATATCAATAGCATAGCAATAAATTAATAACTAGAATAATCTATACCTGAATACTCTTCATATTGTTCTGGCTCATTATTAAGTGCATATTTTTCTGCTACTATCGTTAGAGTAGAATCTAAAAAAAATAAAAAATTAAAAAATACTTTACTATTTATTTTTAAATGCATAGTTAATAAATACCATTATAAATCTTTTGATTATTTTCATAATCTAAAAAATTTACACCATTACTAGAAAAATAATTAAATTCTTCATATAGTAAGTCATCATAATCAAGTGAAATTAATAAAGCCATATTCTGAATTTTTTAATCTTCATTTGAATTATTGTATACTTTATTTCTTTATGGCTTCTATGTCCAGAAAACTCCATTCGTTCATTTTCTGGAATATTTAAATCCTTAAGTCTCTGAATTGCAGTTCAACATAGAGAATAATTAGTAATTTTAGTAAGATTCACAATTTGTGACATCATAGTTTCTAGTTTTTTTTCACTTATAGGACTAGTCTTGAACCAAGCATCCTTTTGTAAATCTTGTATAGTAATAAAATAATATTATTATATTAATAAGTAAATATTAAATATGCATAAACGTGTATATATATATATACATACCATTTTAAATCCGCAGGTTTCCAAAAATAATGCATCATCAGCATTTAGAGAATTAAGTAAAATTATTTTAAATATGCCATAAACAGGTTTAAAGCAATTGTTTGAATTATCTGAAGGAATTGGTAATTTTCTTGCAGATAGTTTTCCATATTTATTATGCTTTAGAGCACCTCTTTGATTATTTTTTTCATGAATAAGAACAAGAAATAATCACTATGAGGTTGACAGCTTATGTCTTTTACTTTTAATTTTGCAGTATTACCACTCTGCAAACCACAAAGTAGTAAAAGCTAAAAAAATACATGTTGAACTAAACTTTTATTATCATTTATTGACATAGATTCATGATCTAAAACTTGAAAAATTTCATTTATAGTAAGTGCAGTAGCCTGATTGAGTTTCCCTAATCTATCTTTTTGTAGCTTCTTCATTTTGCTATTCAAGGTTTATAAAGATTTCCAAATTTGTAAGAATCCCATAAGTTGCATGGTTTAATTTTTGAATTTTCTTTCAGATATCAAGCAAGAGAAGCATAGTAATTATAGATGCTTTTAGCTTTATATTCCTTTCCATCTATTTGTTTTAGCCATACAAGAAATTTGCAAAGAAAGTTTTTAAGCTCAACAACTTCGGGTATGCTTTTAAATAATTTTTCGTAATTCAATACTTCTCTATATCTATCAACTGCTTGTAACCACTTTGCCATTTATTTATCTGTATTATGTACTCACGAGAGTTTAAGAAGCTTTGAAACATCTTCATCTGTTAGTAATGTATTATGTGACATTGAAATATTAAAGAGAGAGTTAAATCAAAACACAATTATTCATTCTATCATTTATATATATTCATTATTCGAATTATTAGTTCTTATTAGTTATTAATTAATTAATTAAAAAATCAAACCAAAATCACTCATTTTATCATTTATATATGTTGTGCCTCAGATGCATCCTTGCGTCAGATGCAACTTGACACGCATCAGGTGCCAATTTTCAAGTAACACATGTTAAA